GCTGTCGGCCTGAAACTGTCTGTACTGGAGCTGACAAGAGTCAATTTCACACCAACATCAGGCCACTGTCAAAGTCAGCACATCCCTGATCAACTTCACTTTTTTTTCTTCTTCTTCTTCTTTTTTTATATTATTATTTTTTTTTCTTTAGCATATAATTTGTCCCTTTTTTGATCCTCAGTGGTTCCCACACAGGAGTGAAGCGCCCAAAGAAAGAAATTAATGAAGTTGGGTTTCCCTTTGAAATACAGGAGCCGAGCCTCCCTAGTTTGCACCTTATCAAGTCTGGATGGCTTTTCTGAGTTTCACACAGTCACCACAGGATGAGTTCACAGGAACTTTACCGACAGAAGATGAGATGTTTTTAAATGTACCCTCCCGGTATTTGTGCAGCTTTTAGTCCATTACCTTCAAATCACATTTTACTTTATTTCCATCAGTTTGTACAGTGATTTCCTATCTTCTAGGAAGCGATTTAACAGTTCTGGCCACAAATATATTGTCATTGCATTGTAATGCAGCTGAGAGCAGGTACTGTTTTAAAAGCCTCTTTATGATGATGCATTCAAGGATTCTCAGATGCCTGAACATTCATCATTTTCTGACCCTTAACTAACTAAAAACACAGTGTATTAGTCTGCAGATAAGAGAAGAAATATTGATGCAGAAGAGATTTGTATGAGGTCATACAGAACAGTTATACATTATATTGTGACATTATATTGTTTGCCAGGTTTGTTTTTAACTTGTCACAACATGTTGCAGTACATATCTCAGACAGTTATTTATAGGTCAATATTTTTTGATAATAGACTTTTTAAAATGGGACTGTCCATATGTAAACCAACTGGTTCAGCTTTAGTGCAGACATAAGTTCGTTTATTGTTCCCTTAGGAGCCTTAAATAATTTTTACACAGATAGATAATACCTTATTAGTCCACAAGGGGAAATTCTAGTAATTTACTGTATATAACAAACGGTGGTTGCCACAATTTACAACTCTTGCAGTTAAAGTTGCTTTGAGAAGACCTTGCTGTCAAATTTCAGATGTCAGAGCATCACCAAAGCACACCAAAAATACTTTGCAAAACGGTACCTCCTGTCAATTGCATTACCCTTGACAAATAGGCTAACTTAGGGTAAAGCCCAGTTCTCTTATTCTGCTGTTTCTCGTTCCTTGATCCTTGCTCTAACTAGAAGTTGTACCATCTTGAAGAGCACCGCAAAGCCCTTATTCCTTTTTTGAGGATGGAGGATCAAGGAGTGAGGAGGCTGCTGGAGGAGCCATGAGCGAGGATACACAGAGAGCATCCTTCGCATAAGTCTTTTATGGGCTGATACACCACTTTATCGGAAATCAGTTGGCAATTGGACACTTCAGATGATGAATTGGAGGAAAGGACATCTCGTGTCTTAACTCTTTGTTTCCTCAGTTAGTCTTCCCTTGTTCCTCACATCTTACATGGCCGGGACTAAGAAACAAGGAAACGACGCAAATGATGGAAACGTGGATGCACTTAAGGAAATGGAGATTTAATTTGATTGTGGAGATTCTACTATTATTACCTACACCTCAGATCCACCCAGGCTCTGCCCTCTTTGGCCAAATTATGATCTCCTAGCACAAGGTGGCAGATGAGGTGTTTAACATAAAACTGCTGGCTTCACAACATCACAAGCCCTAGGAATGCATCTGTCATTATGTAAAGGTTATAGTTAGAAAGTAAAACTGCATAGATGAGATTAAACTACAGAGTTTAGACTGAAAACAAATAGAAAATCGTGGTGACAGCGTGGCCACAGAAAGACCAAATCTGGTGGCGAGCCATTAATATGTGACATAAAAGTTTCATTAAGAAATATATATAATTTTTCTACATTATTAAAAAAAAATACCGAAACCTTTTAAGGCAATAAACTCAAAGAAAAAAACTTGATGGCGCTTCATTCCTCTTTTTCATTTTGTTCTTTGCTAATCTAAATTTACATTGGAAGAAATATTATCACATGGTTATAAATAATAGTTTTCAAGAACACTCAAAATAAAGTAATAATATTAATAATTTAATTTGATTATAAAAAGTTACTACTACTCTAGTGGAACTGTACACTGTAAAAAAAGCAGCTTTCTGCAATGCAGATCTGCTGCACTAACGTTTTTCTCCACAGTAAAGTACACATGTAGAGCCAACAAAAACCATCTAACTGAAGGGGAGCCTTTGTATTGAGACAGAGATGATAGGTTTGGTGCAAGGTTCAGTGTGCAGAGGTTAACTAAAATAAATAAACAATGCATATATGTGCCCCTCAAAGTGTTGTATTTATAATTTCCTTTTAGATCCTGATGGTTCCCTTTACATATGGTCAGATTTTGGGTTCACAGCTGACAAAATGAAACTGGAAATGTTGTACTATACTCTCAGTGAGTGATGAAGTTAACTGTGTGTCAGTGTTATCTTTAAGAGGTGCTGTTTCATATCAGGATGGTGATTGCTCTGTTTCTGTCCTGGGATCAGTTAAGGAGCCATATCGGTGATGTTGGATGTTTCAGCCCATTATCAAAATCACGAACTTGCAACATGCATTTATTCTTGACAATGTTATGTTACGTTACGCTTGTACCATAAAGTTGGCAATGAAACAAAAATCCAGATCTCTATTGTTCTACTCCTGTTGGTATTCAAAGAGTATGCAGAATATTTTTCACTTGCTAACTTAAATTAAGATCAATTTAATGTAATTATTCTGGGTAATCAAACATAGTATTTTCCCTGCAACTGCAAAAATCTTTTTTCTTTAAACAAATCGATCTGGCACTACTTAATTTCCGTTCAATACAAATCAGCTTCTTTTCAGTGTCATTTCTTATTTGTGGTGCACTGATCTGCATCATTCTGACCCATTTAGAGTTATTTAGACACACTGTGAATCTTGAAATAAGGCAAAATGAACTGAGAAGAAGTAGTGAAACAGTTTCACTTAACAGACTGAAAGCCTGTGTTGTCTCTTAGGTTAAATCAGAGACTAAATGACTTGTTAGTCTGGATGTTTTCCTACAGTGTGAGTCACTGCGTGAGCCAACTGGGACTAACATATTTGGCTGTTTTGTGTGATATTTCAGGTAGAGGACGATCCCTCTCATCACTAATTTTTGCAAGCCTGATGTGTCTTTGTTTCCAGGCAGCTGTTAAAATTCTTCATCGGTGCCACTGAAGTAAAAGAAGCAGTCGTGTTTGAAGTCACTCTTTAAAAGGAATCAGGCGCTTTTGGGAAAAGCCCTCAGCAGAGCAGATCGTCTCATCTGTTCCCTGTGTGTTGACTGTGCAGGAGGCGTTCGTTAGCATCACACAAAGCACATTTTAATATTTCACAAAGGTTTCGTGTAAAGTGGCTAAATACAGGAAAACAAAAAATAAAGCCATGTAGAATATCTAATGTAAAAAAAAACTAACTTGTGAGGACAAAGGTGTTCTGACAAATAAAACATTAAATGTTAGCGGGTGAATTCTTGATAGCTGCAGGGAAATGCCATCCACTGACAGATTTAATCAACCAAATAAATGTTACTGTGCAGCTTAAAAATATTTTTAGGCACAGCCTGGCTTCTCACTGTCATCAAATGCCTCATCTAAACACCAAAATCAAAGGGCCATGATGGTGTTCCATGTTTAACTCACCACATCTAAATGTTTTGAACTTTCCAGCAATCCTGATCATTTTCAAGATCTTCCATCACTTTTTAGATTGATTGCCCTCCTTCCAGGCACCCATTGTCTTCAGGTCATCCAGCCATTCAATATCTATATTGATTATCCTGTAGAGGGTCATAGGAGGCTGGAGCCAATCCCAGCCAACACTGGGGGAGAGGTGTGGTACACCCTGGACAAGTCGCCAGTCTATCACAGGGCTGACACTTGGAGACAGATAACCACACCTACGGGCAATTTAAAGTCACCAAGCAATCCAGACTGCATGTCTCTGGACTGTGGGAGGAAGCCAGAGTACCCGGAGAGAACCCATGCAGGCACAGGGAAAACATGCTAACTCTGCACAGAAAGGCCCAGGTCAGCCACGAGGTTCAAAGAAATAACTATTTAAGAGCTACTTGATATCATTGCAATTGAAAACATTTTTTTTTGTCTCTATGTTCATGGCTCTGACACAGAAAGATGACCTCCCCATTCTTAATCCTGCTTACAAAGCTAGGAAATAATGAGTTGTGGGCAGTGATTCAAAGGTCTGGAACCAGGCCAAGTTTCAAGTCTCTGCAGTTTGATTTTCATACAACTGAATGAATGGCTGCCTGGAAGGAAGGAAATCAATCTAAGAACTGAAGGATGATTTGTAAAATTAATGGGTGAAAATGTGTAAAGTCCCCACTACGATCATTTAACTCTCTTGACAGTCAAGTGGAGAACCTTCTTGTGTCAACAGGCCATTTAATTTAGCATTTACTGTTAAAATCAGATTTTCCTCAAATCAGATTTCAGTCTTGCCCAGCAGCCTTGTATCATTCCATCTGTCTGTAGCTCTGTTCTGGAGGAGGAGAAGAAAAGTGCATGAATGCACTCGGCTCAGGCTGGATGTATCTCCCACAACAGGCTGATGAGTTTGATCCCCTCACAGTCCGCCTGCCTGCTCTTGTTCACCTTTCATCCCAACAGTCATTCTGCAGAGATGTTACCTTTCCATCCCCTCCATCCCCGGGACTTTTCTTTCCATTTGTAACGGCCCAGCGAGCGTGAGCTTGAATCATAATATTTGAAATGGCGTTATAATGAATTCGCCGCCTCATTCCTCCGTGCCCTGGCTCACGCATGCAAACCACCTCCGAATATCAATTCACCTTCTCTGCCTACACTGTCTCCCTCCCTCAGGCTTCTTCCATTCATCACAGAAAGATAAAATTCTGTAAACTACAATATAATGACTGGGGTGGGTTTTAAGTTTCTACATTTCTGCACTCTTTAAAAAAAAAAACAAAAAAAAAACGTCCAGTTAAATATGGTGCATAAAGATGGCCTGTTTTGTTCCCTCATTTCATTAATGAATCATTTTAAGTTCCTACCTTTCTGCAGTGTTTTTTCCCCTTAAAATGAGGGAAGTAATAGCACTTATGCTAAATTATGTCTTGATTTAGGAATTTTGTAAAACTGTTCATATTTTGACAAAACAGTCGTAGCACTAATATAAAAAGAGATCTTCGCCCAATCACTTAAATTGTCCAAAAAAACCCAAACATTTTTGTTGATCTAGAACCACTGATTTCTTTTACAGTGTAGCTAGTTTTGTGTTACTGCAGCATTTCACAAATGTATTTTCTATCAGAAAGCAGCAAACGCTTTCATAAAGTGTAACAAAAAAGAAATTTAGATTTTTTTTTCTTTCCCACTGTCAATACAAATCAAATTGTTTTAAAAAGCTGAAAGGCAGTTGCTCTCCACATCGTTGTCCTGATTGACCTCATCTTACAGAGGTCACCCTGGAACCAAATACCTCACAGGTTCAAGTCCTTCATTCCACTTTTAAAAGTCTGCTTGTAATAAAACTAAGAATGACATGGAAAACAATCTGTATACCAGTTCAAAGGCTGTTCATTAAAAAAAAATCTGACAGGACAGCAAATGTAAAAATATACTTTGTTGATAATGCATTCTTTGTGTTGTTTATTGCATCTATTTTTTTTCATATTTTTGTATAAAAACTGAACCACCTGATGTAAACTCAAAGTGAAGCTGGCGATTTTGCAGTTTACCCATGTGGGCTTTTATGTCTGACAGAGGTACATGTGTGTTTATCTCATGAAAAATAAATATGGATTCATCACAAGCAGGCCTGAATACAGCACACTCACCTTGAGTCTAACACAAACTGAAACGGTGCAGTTAAAAAACAGAGATATCATAATCGGCTGCCTCACTATCATTTCTAATCTCAATAATAATGATAATAATAAAAATAACAATTCTTAATCCTGTTGTTGTAACATCTACTTGAGAGCTGACTGTTCTATCACATTAATGCCAAATTTTCCATTCATTCCCATTTCATTTGATTGGAGTGACGGGGGGTGATGGATGGATTATGACACCCCAGGCTCCTGAGCACAAACATGGAAAAGGCTCCCTCCTACCGCTCCTACATAGGATCCCCCAGACTACACTCTCTCTGGCTGTTTTGTGCCTGTGTAGTCCTATGGAGTCTCTCTATACTCATTTTGAGTCTCTCTGTAGTCATTTTGTGTCTCTTTGCAGCTGTTTTGCTTCTCCTTGTGGTTGTTTTGTGTGTCTCCGTCTTTTCATTGATTCATGAAACTGAAGTCACCCTTAAAGCCTTGGGTCCCTGGTCTGCTAAACTGTAATCCATTTCTAAAGGGGTGTTTTTTATGTAAAGAGAATCCAGCAATATTTGCTATTTAAATACAGGATACCCTATGTTAGATCCAGTTTCTTCAAGATCCTGTCTTCATGATCTTTTTGTATCAAAGTAACACACTCACTTTCTTTAGGAAAACAAGATGATGCATTTAGTAATTTTAAAATTGAGACCTTGATCAAGACTGCACTTTAGTTATCTATTAAGATAAACTTCTGTCTTTTGCGTCTTGTGTGTGTTTTGGTGGGGTAAATTTTTTTTTTTTTACTTTAACCTCATCTCAGTGAAGAGGTATCCCAAAAGCCAACACTGCCTTTTGTCAATTTTCAGTACTCCACCAAACCAGGAGTGAGAATGTACTGAATGTGATGTACACATAGTGGAATGTGACAAATTGTGAAAAAAGGACCAATCACCTACCAATCCAAATCCAGGCTTCCTCTAACATTAGTCCCATAGAGATCATCAGCTCATTGACTTCCAGTCCATGTTTGGGACAGAGAGAGAGAGACTTGAACAAGGAGCAACAGCAATGAAAGTTACAGTAAGCTTTCCAAGATGAGATTTGGCAACGACACAAGTCCTCGTAGGTAAGGACTGGAGTTTGTCTGGGTTTGGGAGAGTAAAGGCTTGGTTAAGAACAGCAACAGCCTGTGGAAGTCTAGAGAGGTTTCTATATGGTCCTGTAGAGTAGATTCAGCTGGATCCAGATCCAGATGGTTCAAACCGGTCTCATACTTGCTTCTCTCTGGCCAAAATCACTTTTTTTTTATCACTTTATCTTATGTTAAACCTCAGGATCCAGAGGTGGAGGGGCAGCATGGGTTATGAGTGATGGCTGGTTCATTGAAATCATATTGTTTTGTTTCAAAAAGAAGGATACTGAGGAAAATTAGATATGCAATAAGAGGATCACCTCGTGTCACTGCAAAAGTCATCCTCCAATCCCGGGAAGGAAAATAATGTTTTAGTGAAACTTTGGTGGCTGAGGATGTGTTTCCTATTTCATACTGTAGGTTCTGGTAGCCTTTTCAAACCATATACACATCCTGTTACTGCACAAAGTTCCTACCCTGTCAAAAAAAAAAAAGAGACAAAAGGAATACTTCCATCTGCGATCATGAAAAATAAGTGAGGTACAGTCACAGTAACTGAGTTGTGGAGAACTCAGCGGAGGTGGATGCTAATAATACCATGAATAAGAGAAACAGGAGGGATTTTATAATGCTGTCTTTTCTGTGATAATCCCTTCCCCCTGCTTCATCAGGTCAAGCTGCTCGGCATTGGGTTTTTCTAGTTTTGTTTTTGAGGTTGAAGGGTCTAGACGGGTTTCAGTTTGACCTCCTACAGAAGCCCCTAAACCCTTGTCCTGTTCTTGGAGTTAATGCTGTGCTGCTGTAGTGTTTAATTCCCTTGTATACTGTCCTGGTCCAAAAGAGTAGATACTAGCCAAGACCAGCAGAACCCAAACAGTCTCGACCCAGCACAGACAGGAGTTCTACAGATGCATCTTCAAACCTAGATTGACCTGTTGCCGCTCTTAGCGAATGAAAAGCAGGTGACATCAAGACTTGAAGAAAGGTTTCAGACTGGCCCGTGGCTGAGGGCTGGGCCGGGCTGGGGTCAGGTTAGAAGGCGGAGCCGGTAATGGCATTGAGCTGCTTCATCAGACCTTCTAGACTGGCCATCTGCTCTGACAGGTCATCCTGCTCATAAACCTGAAAGACAAGAAAACAATAAAAGTAGATCTTAGCCTTTATAAAAAACCTGTCTGAATGTTGGTGTGATAACTCAGTGGTTTCTGAAGACGCATTTTTGAGGAATGGAGTTTGGAGGATTTGCTCTCCAATCGGGCTGTTGTAATACATCCTGTGTTTCCATCCACTGTGATGGGCACTCCAGTTGACAGCACTGTTAGAAGTCTTACAAGGGAGATGCTCTGTGGTGCCTTAGGGTTTTATTACTGGACTGAACTACTTTGACTGTGAAATGTCTGATATTTCCACATCGCAAATGATGATCAAAGGCATTAAAACAAAGGTCTTACAGGTAGAACATGGGACATACTCTGTCAGCTAGAGAACTCGCAGACAATTCTGATTCATGCAACCATAGTCATATAAAGATCTTTCACTTTTCAATGAAATTTAGCCTGGGTTTAACCTAGATGTATATGTCTTTTAACCTGCCAATCACATTAGCACATACTGTTGGCCCCATGACTTCATGTCAGTTTACTGTGACAACACGGTCAGACTGCCGCGGCCGAGTCGGCACAGTTCATTCTGCTGTTGAGGTGCAGTGGAAATGCGCACAATCAGACTGTGACCAAAGTAAAATTTGCTGCACAAAGCCAAACATTCAGTACTGCCAAAAATTTCCCTTGTCATGCATTTTATTTTTTATTGGTTTCTCTTACATTCACTGTCTCATTCATTTGATGTGTAAATCAACTTGTGTAGACTAGAAATTCACTGCAAATTACCTAATCCATCACAATGAACGTTAAGTCTCCTTTTATTCCTGTCAGAGTTCGGTTATTGTTGCCTGGCGGTGCAGTGCAGACTATTCAGTCTGCATTTATAAAAGAACAAAACAACAATGACTTTATCTTGACTGTGATATGATTTCTCAGCAGCAAGTTTTTAAAATCTGGAAACTGATTGATCTGAAAACAGTGGCTGTCTGAGGGAAGGAACTTTAAATACATGTTGGAAAATGAGCACCTGCAATGCAAAGTTCACAGGGCTTTTAGTTAATGGGCAAAAACAAGTGTAAATCCATTAATAAACACAATGGATGTGTTTACCTAACCCGATGGGGCACAAGCTGTGCTTCATTAGGTTACGTAACAACTGGCTTCTAAGTCGACCACACCACACATGTTGGAGCTGTTGCTGTCACCGGTCTGTAGGCGTCCCAAAGGACAAGACACACTCACAGTGTGGACGGCTGAACTTTAATCCTGCAGATACTCTGTGATCACTGTGTAATGGTGTTTGGTCCAGCTGTACAAACTGTCACCTCTGAGTGGACCGGCATAAAAGTACCTCTATCTCGGTGTGCCTGTGTGACAGTAAAGTGGACATCTCTCCCATACACACTCTCTGTGTATTATATTGAGCATGGCCTCCATGCAGAATTTGTCCTTGCACTTGATAAAAAAAATTCAATATTCTCCTCAGCACTGTGGAAAAACCGATAAAGTGTCAGCGGAAACATTTCTCACACTTAAACCAAAAGGTTTGTGTCAATGCACAAGACCTTCTCCATGTGTGTGTAGTGCATTAGTTGTGCGTGCAGTCATTGTCATTATAAAGCAATGATCCTACATAGATATGACTGCGGCATCTCAGTGGAAAAGTCACTTACTAATGCACTGTCAGTGTCAGTGCAGATACTGTCAAAACATTTCTGAATAAAAAGATGCATAGACAAACTGGATTAACTAGAAAATCTACAGTTATTAATATAAAGCAAATTATCCAACAGTACACTGTACACCGGTGGCATTTGTTTAATCATTTGTGTGGGCAAAACAAAACATTTTTCTAGAGATTTCTGGATTAGATTTCTTTTCATAAACAGGAATGCTTTGAGGTCTCTACTGTACATTTAAATTAAATTTAGATAAGCTACAGTATCCATAATTGCTCTAAGAGGACAAAAAAGCACTTGAGGGCTACACCTAAAGATAACTTTTTAATGCCACTTAACCTATTGATTATATTGTTGATTAATTCTGAAAAAGGAGAAACAAATTAAAAAAACATTTATCATTTAAAGCCAATATTAATTTCAAAAATTTGAAATATTTTGTGTCTGATCAACACTCTAAAACCTAAATAATAAAACCCATTAATAATCGCACAAGACAGAATAAACACACACATTGTTAACCCCAGTGACTATTTGCTAAGATTTACTTAATTAATCAATGTTTAGTTGAATAACCACAATCTAAAAATGTGAAATTCAAATGATTTTACCTATTGAGATGTTAAGGTCAGTGATCAGTATTTTGTAAATACAGTATATCCTTAAATGTGATTTTTTAAAATCTTGTTTGCCTAGTATTTATGGCACTGCTGCTTTATGGGCTACATATAATCTTAACAACCTCCGACTCCAGTTAGTTTGCACATTACTGTGTACTGTACATAGTCTTAAAATTAGGATATGTAAATAACTGATCATAAAGTGCATGAAGGATAGTCCTTGTAGGAGCATGGGCCGAATTAATGGCCATGTGCCAGTTTTCACACTCCCGAAACAAAACCTTTCAGGATGACATGGCCTCCCTTGATAAACATGAATCAAATGAGATTGGGTATGTGTGATAACATTGATTAATATTCCCCATAACTGAACAAATTTTATACATCTTGTAAAAAGTAAAATGATGAAAGTTTCAATCATGGTTAACATTTTAATCAACTCTGTATTTTCCACATTTTGTTTCAGGTGTACAGGTTCTCAGTGGAGCCTTTATTTATTTATTTTTTTTAATGAAGCATACCCTCTGTATGTAGGTCTCCGTCCCTCCAGAGGGACCTGAACCTGTTGATACAAATTTGAAAATCAGATATCAGTCCAGTGCAGCTGAAGCTTTTAACTTGACCGGAGAGTATGATGGATCTGCTTTCAACTGGTTTCTGCCTCAGGACAGCATCATCTCCCCTCTAGTCATATACGTATAGATTTTTCAACTGCCTCCATTTAAAACCTCAGTGGCGCTCACAGCTACAGTCACTGACAGTTAGAAAATAGTCTGAATAAACCCATCCAGGATTACCTTCACCAGAGAGGAGCTACTAAACACCAGACAACTCATTCCGAACACCTTCTCTCTGATTTTTGCTAATGCAAAAAGCTGTGTGGACAGCAGCCCTCTATGGGACATGGAGAAAACACATCTACTCGTTGCCTTATGGAGGAACATTGTCCATACACATTAAGAGCCACTGTACCAGAGTCAAATAAACAACTAACAGACAGTAAAGTGATAATTCAGTCAAAGCAAATCATGGCAGCGCCATAGAGTTTCACTGACTTGGCTACTCAGCTGCTTCTAAAGTATGAAGTTGAAATCAATAGCAATAATTATACTTGTGACATTTTAAGTTAGCAACATGTGTCAAAAAATGTTTTACAACCTTTTGACTGTGAGACTTTAATAGATTAGTCACCAAGCTAACTAGCTAAATTAGCTGAGCTATCTAGAACAACAAAACAATTAGTTTGCAAGGCTGTTCAGGTCATTAAAAGTAGTAATTTGCTGATAAATCACACTCTTCCCTACAGAAAACAGAAAAAAATAGATCTGAATTAGCAGTTTGGAACTATTTGAAGCTACATGAGTCGCATGGCCCACTGCCGTTTTGACCCCTCAATGTCGCAACTCTTCTATCTAAAGGGCTCTGGGTTAAAAATCTATTTAAATAATGTTCTGTTTAAAGTCTTTGAAGGCTTCTTTTCCTCAATGGTTTTTGTGTATTCATTTCTAAACCCTCCTAAGAGGCTTTTCAACAGGCCGCATAAATCTCACTTAAGCGACTGTGGAGAGTCACTCACATTATAGAAAGAAAAAGAACAACCAGCACGTTCTCCTTTCACTGTGTAATACACACACACAGTGATCTTTTGACCTTCCACTTTCTTTCTGAATGAGACCATAAAAGCTCATCTAGCCACACACTGCCAGGTATTTTACACTTACCACAGACAAAAAGACTTCTATAAAAATCATAAAAGTATATAAAGAAACCTGCAAAAATCCAGTGACCCCTTGATCTCATTTGTTGACTCATAACAGCAGAGCATCACTGAGTCAGTAAATGCGTTGTTGATGGGAAAAAATACCTGTTGATGCTCTGTGTGTCTCTGTGATACCCTGTTATCTCTGTCAGTCTGCGGACCTGGATTCACAACCCTCTATAATCTGTCAGAGGTTTATCCCAAAACAGCAGAGTGAGCATAATACATCTGATGCACATAAATAAAAAAACCGTGTCCCTAGAATTTTGCCACTCAAAAAAGCAAAGCAGTAAATTGTGAAATGTTTCTTACTGAGAGGTCAAGGAGACATGATGGAGATAGATTCAAACATACTCTTATTTGTCACCAGGTCATAATGACTCATTTAATTAAACAAATTAGATCACGCAAACAAATTTTTACTTGTGTGCAGTAAACTAAACTAGATAAACTGATAAAGATAAGAGTTAATATGTGATCCATTTAGACTGAAAAGCAAAGAAAATAATTTGAAATATAATCAAAATTATTATAAATTCTGTGTTCTGTTTTGGGAGCAATGAAAATATAGAATTTTGTCTTTCAGTAATAAAACCATTTAGATGGGAGAAAGCACAGAAATGCTGACCTCTTCAAATCTGCAGTGGACAAATTAAGGGACACCAGTTTCCCAACACACAGCTACAGCGGAATGAGTCTCATCATGGTATAAAATCTTGAATATAAATTACTGCTTGGCCAAACATCAACACAAGTGAAGTGGGTGTAATCCAGCAACTTTCAAATTCTTCAGAATACTAGATGACCTGCTTGGTGACCATTCACTCAGAGTTGACACTGGCTTTCCCTGTCCAGTGCTCACTGAGCCTCCGATAGGCGAAACATCAACTCCAGGAGTTGCTGAAAGGTTATCATCATTATCCTCAGTCTTTTTCATTAAGGAAAACAATTACATGTAGGC